ACCAAGGGGAGGGGATTGAATCTTGTATTGATATCTATTGCTTTCGCGCCTTTTTATTCAGATTCAGCTTTGCTTCTTTTCGTTTGTAGCCAGTAAAAGTACACTTATTTCTGAAATATGGACTTGAGTGGTTTCTTTCTTGGTTATTAAATGAAGGGCAGTGACACCTAGTTAATAAAGGAAGTATCTGCCACAGGTTAAAGAAAGCTAGATAAATTGAAAGTGAAGGCACATCCCTTCAATCATTACTTAAATATCGCATTATAAGTTTTAGTTTAAAATGTTAATTCAGTAAATAAAGGAACAAATATGTGTAGTCAGATGGTCCTCGACTTCACCATGGGAATTAGTTTATATTTACAATGTGCGAGCCATTTTTTGAGTTAATTTTTCTAAGAATTATATTTTAAAGCAAAGTATTCCCTTATTCCCCCCTTTATTTTGCATTCCAGCTTGCTTGGGAATATGGAATACCTTTCTTTGAGACCAGTGCAAAGGATAATATAAATATTGAAAATGCATTTTTAGTTCTAGCTGAAGAAATATTGAACAAGGTAAGCAAATTGAATTTTTTTCTTATACCATTTCATATGAATTAAAAGAGACTGTTCAAGGTAAGAGATCTGTTCGCTACCTTTGTATATTTTATTCTTTATTATAATAAGAAAAAAAGCTTTAAAGAAACAAAATATGAACCAGAAAGGTTTGAGTTTTGAAAAGGTTTGTGTATATTGGCTGTATAGCTCTACCTATTTGCAATACTAACAATACCATTCTCAATGATTATTATACTAAGGTACTGAAACCAGTTCCTTCCAATTCAATAGACTGAACAATCAAACTAAGTGAAGTTAATATTTGTCTATTTATTTACCTTACAGGTAATCCTGTAAGGACTTAATTAAAACTTTTATTAAACAGTCCTGCCTGTTATCGCGGCGATGATGACGCGCAGTGATGACGTCGCAGCTTTAGCGACGCGGTTTTATCACCGCTATTTTGACGGGCGCGGTTTTGTCGTGCCACGGTCTGAAGTTGCTCCCAGTGCTTTTTTTGTCTGCCTATGTTCTGTAACACCTTCCACAGCACTCTGTCCCTGCCCATGCTCCTCAGGACTCTCCAGTGGCCCTGTCCCTCTGTGGCACCCACCTATACTCCCTAGTGCTGGTCTGCAGCACCTTGATGCCCCCTATGGTACCCATGCATACAACCACGCTTTAGTGTGCCTGTTTGCAACATCCCATGCCTGCTCATTGTTCTCACTTCAGTTCTCACCTGTGAACCTGCTTGCCTGAAACTCCCAACTTCTGCTTAATGACCCACAGGGTTCCAGAGTTATGACTGCAACCGGAACTGCAGGGTTATTGTCGCTAAGCAGTGCAGTCACATGACATCACTTTACCACTGCATCACTTATTGTGGTGCATTTTGCATCCCCCAAGACATTACTACAAGGGGATGCTACTTGAATTTCTTTTCTCCACTAACAGTAATTTTATTTTAAACAATTTTATTTCAAATACGGAATAAAAAAGTAGTTCTTTATTTTACTATCTGAACACAATTCTATGGCTTTTTCCCCATCAGAATTCCTGTGTATTACTCAACTTGGATGTGGTGGAGCTAAATGAAAAACTACAAACAAGATCTTGCTGCAAATTGTGACTGTGCAAAGAAAGAGAAAGTAACTAATATTGGTGACTTGTATATATCAAAGCCTCGAATCCCTAACCTATTACTCAGTTATTACTGATACTAACAAATGAACAGATTATTTATCCATTGACACTTTATGTAATTGCTGTTCCAAGCCAAACATTAGATTTACATTATATATCATAATCATAAAAGTTATTCAGAATGGAAGAGTAAAAAAAAAAACTATCTTTGAGTTTTGGCCATCATAGCTTATTTATACAATAAACCTAAAAGGTAAACATGACATCTTTGTGAATATTTGAATTCATATTTACTAATGAACACTTTTAAATACTTTATAAAATGAGAAAAAGGAAGAAATAACCTAGAGTGAACTTAGGAATGATGGTCACTTCAAAGCCTCCAAAGCAACCCAAAATCACAGACTAACACCCAAGAAAGACCTGCAAATAAAGATTGAGCAACAACTGATTTCTCCAACTCTCTCCAAGATTCCAAAAATGCTTTTACAACACACACTTCTTCTGAGGCCTTTTAAAGACTCGCAGTCTGAGGTAACAGAACTCAACGTTTATTGAACTAGTACAACTTAGGAACAGGACGCGAACGGAGAACCTAGCCCGCCTGACAGCTATTTATACTTGACAGCTGTCAGGCGAGCACCCAATCAGCGGCGTGCAATTCTCCCACCAGCCGGCAGCCACGTCAAAGCCAATCAGCTGCTTTGGGCGCTGCCAGCTGCGTCGGGAGGATGCAACACTCCTTTCCCCCAGATTGCGCATGCGTAATCTTTTAAGTACCTATGTCTTCTGCGCACGCGCAGGGAACGCCTGGGCAGAGGAGTGTCCATTGTCATCGGAGAAGGAGGTCTGTTGCTGTGACGCAGCAGAGATGAACGCCCAGCCCCCGGACAAGCACGAATATTTGAAGGTTGGTGTCCATCCGGGGCAGCAGCGGGTGGTGCGCAGCGGAGCAGAGCACATGGATTGAGACTGGTTAGCTGCAGATGGCCGCGGTTGGGCAGGCTGGGCGGCCGACGGACAGGCAGGCCCCGGCTGCGGTGGTGGTAATGTTGAAACTGGCGTGGCCGGCTGGGGCGGCACCACGGGTGCTCAGCGGCGCAGCTGGTTTATATGGCGCCGCCATAGTCTTCCAGCGTCGAGCTGGACCCTGTAAGAGCATGGCCCAGTTAGTTCTAATATTACCCCCGGCAGCCATCTACGGTCTCCAGAGTAATTCTGCGCGAAAACCCCCTCACCCACCAGAAAAGACCTATGTGGCGCGGGGAGAGGGCAGGCGGTGGGGGCGAAGGAGTGGTGCAGGTGGTTGAGGGTTGTCCGGAGGTGGCGACCCTTTAGAACTTTGGTTGGACACCTGCTGGAGGCCTGGCAGGGGGTGGTATGTTGTGCCAGGAGGTACGTCCGGAGGCGGGCTGGCCAGGGCAGGTGGGAGAGACGGGCAAGTCCCTCCTTGGCCGAGCGCACGGCGCGCTCAGCCATGCCATTGCCCGCAGGGTGGTAGGGTGCCACCAAAGCATGGCGAATGCCCAGCCTGGCAATGTAGGAGTGGAAGGGAGCAGAGGCAAATTGAGGACCATTGTCAGAGACGATGACGTCCGGGATGCCATAGGTGGTAAAAAGGGCATCGAGAATTTGGATGGTGGCGCCGGACATGGTGGACTGCATGGGGAAAATGTCCACCCACTTAGACAGAGCATCCACCACGAGGAGGAAGGTGCAGCCGTCAACGGGGCCAAAGAAATCGAGGTGGAGGTGGCTCCACGGGGCGGAGGGAGTGTCCCAAGTCCGGGCAGGGGTGGAGGGAGGAGCTGGGTGGACGGCTTGGCACGGCGGGCACCGCTGGACCCAGGCAGCAATGTCAGGGTCCATGGAGGGCTACCAGACATAGCTGCGACCAAGAGCTTTCATTCGCACTATGCCAGGGTGGCCCTCATGAAGGCGGCGGAGCACTTGCTGGCGGAGGGCCACAGGGACAACGACCCTGGAGCCCCAGAGCAGGCAGTCCTGCAGGATGGAGAGTTTGTCTCGGTGGCGGAAAAACGGAAAGAACTTGGCCAAGCGAGTGTCCGCCGTCCAGCTCCGGCGAACAGCATCCAGGACTTTCTGGAGGAGGGGGTCCGAATTGGAGGCGTTGGCGATGTCGGACGCGGAGAGGGGAAGAGCAAGGTTGTCAGTTAACGAGACAACCGAGATGGCAGGAGCAGGATCCGAAACAGGAAGGGGCAGTGGGCAGCGGCTAAGGGCATCCGCATGGCCCATATGCTTGCCGGGGCGGTAGAGGAGGGAGTAGGAGTAGGAGGCAAGGAACTCAGACCACCGGCCCATGCAGGGGCAGAGAGTGGGCGGAGTGGGCCGGTCCCCAGAGAGGATGCCCAGAAGGGGCTTGTGGTCGGTCAGGAGGGTGAAGGGGCGGCCGTAAAGGTAGGGATGGAAACGTTTTACCCCCGCAACGGCCGCCAGGGCCTCCTTGTCCAGCTGGCTGTAATTGCGCTCAGCCTTGGACAAGGTGCGGGAGTAAAAGGCGATCGGGGCTTCAGAGCCATCAGGATACGAATGGCTCAGGATAGCCCCAACACCGAAGGGCGAGGCGTCGCAGACCAGGAGGAGTGGGAGGTGCTCGTCATATTGGATGAGCACGGGGACAGCTGTCAAAAGGGATTTGACAGCCGCGAGTGCATGCGCCTCGCGGTCTGTCCAAATCCAAGGGCAGAGGAATCCAGGAGGCGGTGAAGGGGCTCCGTAATGGAAGCCTTGTGGGGAATGAAGGATGCATAGAAGTTAAGGAACCCCAGGAACGCCTGGAGCTCCCCCTTGGAGGAGGGGGTGGGGGCGGAGACAATGGCCAATTTTGGCAGGAGTGGGTTGGATGCCTCTGGAATCCATGAGATAACCCAAGAATTCAACAGAAGGAATGCCCAGCTGACACTTAGAGCGCTTTAAGTGGAGGCCAGTGTCCCTGAAACATGTCAGCACTGCCCGGAGAGTTTTGACGAGTCCTGATTGACATCGTCAAAATAAGGGGCAACCCCTGGAATGCCATGGAGCAACCACTCCATAAATCCCTGAAAAATGCCAGGAGCCATGGTGATGCCGAATTGTAGTCAGCGGCACTGGAAGGCACCACGGTGTGTCACTATGGTCTGTGCAACAGCAGAGGCCTCGTCGATGGGCAGCTGCTGGTACGCTTGGGCCAGGTCCAACTTCACAAAAAGTTTGCCCTGGCCCAAGGAGTGCAACACGTCTTGCATGACTGGCACCAGATAGGGGTGAGCTTGTAGGGCCTTATTGATGGTTGCCTTATAGTCCACGCAGATCCTCAGGGATCCGTCAGACTTCAAAGGCAACACGGTGGGGGTTTCCCAAGGGGAGTGATCCACGGGCTCTAAGATGCCCTGTGCTATCAACTTATCCAGCTCCGCGTCAACCTGAGCCCGGAGGGCAAAGGGAACCTGTCGTGCCTTAAGGCAGATGGGCGCCACCATAGGGTCCAAATTTAGGGAAATATGGGTGCCCTTGTAGCAACCCAGGGCATCCGAGAAGACATCAGCAAAATCAGAGAGGAGGGAATCTAGGGAGGAGGCAAGGCGTAGGGAGTTAATGCCAGCAATAGGGAGGCCAAAAGCCCTGAACCAGTCAAGCCCCAGAAGGGAAGCGAGGAGGCTGTGGACTACTACTGTTCCCTCTAAGGTGCGCGGCTGCGCGGCCGCGCATGTTGCAAGAAAATCCCGCGCAGCAGTTTCTATCTGCCGCGCAGAGATTTCTGTAAAGGAAACGTGTGGAAGTCCTTTGCAGGCGGCTACAACTGGATCCGGCAGTGCTGTTGGAGGAGGAGGAGGCGACCCACCCTGCCCCCGCCGCCCCCCCCCAGCCCCGCCGCTCTTCCCGTCCCCTTCCCAGCCCCACAATCCAGCGGTCGCAGTAGAAACAGCCCCGGGTCTCCGCTGCC